CTTGCCTCCTGATTTCACATTTGAATGATGGGTAGTTGACAATGAAGAATAATAAATGTGGGTCACCAGAGTTAGTGTCACAGCTGGCACCGGAGATGGTGAATTATCTGAAAATCAGAAGCCCAAGTAGAACAAAATTGTCAGGAAATGGAGGTTAATAAAGGATATTGGAGGTTAATAGGGGATACTGTGTGCAGTGGAAGCTTTCTATATCATAACACATTTTGAGTTCCATTACATGTATATGTATCAGTATTAGATTAAGGATACTATGCATGACTGTGCTGGGAATCTGGAAGTGTTTCATTCTATCTGAGTAACTTGAGTGAATTATGTGTGTGTGTGTGTGTGTGCGGGTGGGGCAATGACTTTGCTGCTTTATAGAAGTTATTCGTTATTCCCTAGAAATCCAGATCCAACAAAGAACCAAAAGCAACAATAACAACTTGCACTTATATAGCACCTTTCACGCAGGATAGCATCTCGGAGCGCTTAACAGTGGTGGGCCAGACACATCTTTAATTTATTCCACTATGTTGGATAACATACGCATTTCTTTTTCTCTTGTCTTTGTTGTCAAAGGATGAGATCAGATGGGTCAAAAGACCTTCTTCATTCGAACCGCTCTTGTAAACTGGAAAACACCAGTCTGTAAATTGTGAGTGATTTTTTAAAAAAAATCCCAAATTCTGTACAATCTTAAATATTAAGACAATGATGCTAAGCCTGAGACTGTGAGAGTATGGGGCCTCTGATCTGAGGCCATCAATTAGATAGAGAGTGTATTTGTACTTTAATAAAAATAATAATAAAAATTCTAGCATTTGATTTAGTGCCTTATCGAGATGTCTCAAATCACTTCACAGAATATATTGTAAAGTATATTTTGTGGGCGAAACCCAGCAGCCAGTTGTGCACAGCAGTGTCCCACAAACAGTCGTGGACTGAGTGACAAATTATTATTATTTAAAAAAAATGTTTTTGAAGGGATTATGATCCCCGGAAGGCGATCTGTCAATCACCTAACAACCGGGTTCCTACTTACTGTTAGGTAAAGAAACTAGCCTAAGGTTTCACCGCGCCCGGGAATTGAGCTGGGTCCTTTCGCTTGTCAGTCAAGTGTTCTAACCACTACCGAACAGGATTCCGTTTACACTAGATTGCCCACTGCAACTATCTGTTCAAATCCTATTTCCCTATTCTTTCTCTTTAATATTATTTTATGAACAAGTTAAATATTATACTCCAGTTTTGAATACTATTACTGACTCTGCTTCTTTGGTCATTTGGGATTAAACATTTCGTAATCTCTGTGGAATAAAATCACTTTTTATTTATCATGATCCTCAATTGATGGTCTTTTGTCTGTGAATGAAAATGATCTCCTATTTACTCTCTCAAACCCATTCATAATTTTTATGTTGGGGTGACTGTAAAATAACATTCTTAAACTGTCAAATATATAACATAATAAATATTTATGCTGGTAATATATTTTCTAATATTAACATATGCATCAGTTAAAATTATATGGCCTTCTATTTTTATGAACGGACTGAATGAATAGTCCGAAAGGTTGACAGATTGAATGAAGTGAAAGCGGATGCTTTCTGCACAATCCTAGTACATATATCAGTGGAGAGACTGAAGTTTATTTTAGAAAGAAAGTATGAGAGATAAATATGCAGGGCATTATCAAGAATCATATCAGCAGATGGCTTATTGATATAGATACAATTTTTGGTTTCTCAGTAGAGCAAGTTTGCAGCTGTCATTCCGGATCTCTTTTAAATTGTCCAGCTTTCGACCAGAATATACTTAAGACACCCAATGAACATTAAAGCACACTGCTAAGAGGCTATTTAAATAAATCCCCACCGCATTAAATGTGTGCATGTGTAGAAAGAAAATAGGGATTCTTTTTTGGACTCTCTAGAAATTTTAGGTGATGGCCCTTTGGAATATTTTAGGTGAAGGTCTTTTGGAATGTAGGAAAGCAGGACAAGGTGGAGTCAGAGGTAGGTGTCATTTTTAGTTATAGTTATTATATTTAGTTATAGTTATTATATTTTTAGTTGTAGTTATTGAGTTAGACTAGAGCAAGTAGCACACAAGTCTATCAGTCTCCACTTCACATCATTCTCCACTTCACATCAATCACTGCCAACTTGTTTAAGGGATGTTTTATATTAAAAGCTTTTATACTAACCTTTGGTGTCCTGGTCATGCCTGCTTTACAAATATATATATCAAAATATATGCTGGAAATACAATGAATACAATACAAGGGAAGGCCATTCAGCCCATCACGCCTGTTCCATCAGTTTATTGGATCTTGGTAGATCTTTTAGTGTCAATGGCCTGCCCTTTCACCAAATCCCTTCATATCTCCACTACCAAATGCCCCTCTATTTCTCACCAAAAATCTGCGCCATCTGACACCAAACAGAAAGCAATACAGATGCTCCCAGATAGGCTGTAGGACATACATGACGGTGCAGGGGTAGTGGTTCAATGGCACTTTTGACTATAATTTGCGGGTGAATGAGGCCAAAGGTCTCGGAGGAGTGAGACTGGTGAATGAGCGAGACTGGCACAGGAGTTCGGGCCATGGTGGGACCCATGTGTGGAGACTCCAGTTCAACATGGTGGCAGTGAGTGGTAGAAGAGTACCTGCGAGCAGGATAGAGACCAACAGGGCCAGGAGCGAGGTTACTGCAGGGGCGGTTGCAAGGCAAGGCTGGTGGGAATGGGAGCTAGGTCTGCGAGTTAGCAAAGGCCTTGGGGAGCGAGGAGTGTGTAGAGGCAATGGCAGTGTGTGGGAGGGGAGTGCATGGAGTCGGGATGGAGACCAAGGAGTCCAGGAGGAAGGTTAGTGCAGCATTCCAAATAGCCAAAGGGAATGTTTCAGGCTGGTCTGTACGGATATGAAGTGAAGGTGTGAGTTGGACACAGATACTCTAGCAGGGATTGGTGTCTCTTGACAGTTGTCGTGCAGGGTTTAACACTTGAAATACTGGATGTTTTGTGTTATGAATATGTGCATAGTCCATGTTTTCTTCTATACATTTATCATGATGAACATTCTGTGGTTGATTTGGAAAGAGGAAGAGTTTGGAAATTTGGGTGTAAGTCTTGCATTTCTTGCAATTCATTGTTGTTGTTTGGTGCTGATTCAGGGATCCATTTCCTTCCCAACTCCAACACACCACTATCTTGGATCCCATTCCTATTAATACATTTTTGTGTCTGTTGTAATATTGTCCTGACAAACCTGAACCTGTATCCCCTTGTCTTGCTACCTTGGTGAATCTGAAGAAAGGATTCACTTTCTCTACCATACTTAGCTTTCTTTTGCCCACAAAATATGCAGTCAAATCACTTTACAGTATATTCTTTAGGTGCCTCAAAGACATGATAAGGCGCTACATCAAACGCAAGGATTATTATTATTATTCGTTTATGCCTTGATAAGGTCCCTTCTGAGCTATCACGTTTCACTTCTGAAAAGGCCTAGCCTATCTCATTTTGCATACAACTGATCCTTCGAATGCCGGGAGACAGCCTTATTCTACTCCTATTTCTACTCCAATACAAACTGATGAGCCCTGTACCACTTGAAGATAAGTTTTGAAGATGCAAACTGAAATGAACTGAACTGTGTTGCCCTTTATCTGTTTATTGTTGCTCATGGTCTGTGGACATCATGAATGACAAGTCAACTAATCAACACCCGTGGGTCTCATTCAACTTACGCCTTTGTGCATTCTCCTCCATCAATGTCCCTTCTAGTTTTATTTCCTATATGCAGCCACTTGTAAATAATAATAATAATTAATAATCCTTGCTTTTGATATAGTGCCTTATGTCTGTATTGAATTTAATTTGCCGGTGATCATGCCCTGTCAAGCTCTTTTTCCAAGGTCTTAGATGCATCTCCTGATTCCACAGTTTCCCTTCGCTTTATGTCATGCGCAAGTAGTACCAGCTTGGACGTGCTTTCTGATCTTCTCTACGGATGTACTATACATTTTAGTGCAGAAACATCCATCCAGAGTATTGAGAATTTATATTGGTTTTACACTTGCAAATACTGTATTAATAATAAGAGCTTACATCGGAGTCTTCATCCAATGTGCTTGATTAAAAAAAAATACGAGGGTCCTATTTTAAGCAAGACAAAAACCCACATTTAATTGCCGATCTCATCCGTAATACATGAGCATCAACTTTGTCGTATGGCTGGCCACATTGGGTCTAATCTTCTCTTACTGTTAAATTTTTCTTGCTCCCAATGGCCAATAACTGCCAGTGAGTTACATCATAGGGCAATAGAACAAAAGATAACTGAGGTATTGTCAATTTATTTCAATTTCAAATCCACACCTTGTGCTGTTTATTTTCTTGTATTATTCATTTCAGGAACGTGTCGAACATTTTTGGCTGCCCTTCACTACTGTTTGTTCAACAGGAGTGGCAAGCAGACACTTTTTTTAAAGTGTAAGGTTGTCCTCACCTTCATGTTTGTGTATTGAAGAATGCTGCTTATTATGGTAACTCTATGCAGTATAGAAAGCAAGTTGAGCCATTGAAAATTGCATTTCAGAACCACATGCTGCATGGGAAATAATCTTAACAGCAGCAAAATGAGACTCCCTACAGATATATTTCAACAAAAAGAATTGCTATTACTCAGCGTTGACTGGTTGCCAGTGCATTTTTATTATAGTGCATGAGAGACTATAGCTCAAGGATATAATGGAACGAGCACTGACGGCAATTTTCTAGGAACAGTGTTACATATTTAATGTGTGGTTGCAAATTGGTCAGTTGTCTTATCTGTTATTATATTAAAATTCTGGTTCAAATAAAGACAAATAGTAATAATCCTTGCATTAGCATCAGAAACTACAGTTTAACTGAATCCAGAACTGTTATAAATATGTTTAGATGTTTGCTCAGTTTCTCCATTTGTGTAATTTTTCTCTTTTATTTTGCAGTGGGATGCTATACCAGAAATGGATGAATACAACAGACCGATTCATACCTATCAAGTCTGCAATGTGATGGAGCCGAATCAGAACAACTGGCTACGGACTAACTGGATATCCCGCGAAGCAGCTCAGAAAGTCTATGTTGAATTGAAGTTCACTTTGAGGGATTGCAACAGCATCCCCTGGGTCCTGGGAACCTGCAAAGAAACATTCAATCTGTATTACATGGAAGCAGATGAGTCTCATGGAATTAAATTCAGACAAAACCAATACACCAAAATTGATACAATTGCAGCTGATGAAAGTTTTACTCAGATGGACCTGGGAGATCGTATACTTAAACTAAACACTGAGATTCGCGAAGTTGGGCCAATAACCAAAAAAGGATTTTATCTTGCTTTCCAGGATATTGGAGCCTGTATTGCTCTTGTCTCTGTCCGTGTGTACTATAAAAAGTGCCCATTTACATTCCGTAGCTTGGCGATGTTTCCTGACACGATCCCCAGAGTTGATTCTTCCTCCCTTGTAGAAGTTCGCGGTTCCTGTATAACGAACGCAGAGGAAAGAGATACCCCAAAACTTTACTGTGGTGCAGATGGAGACTGGCTGGTTCCTTTGGGAAGATGTGTCTGCAGCATTGGCTATGAGGAACTTGATGGAGCCTGCCATGGTAAGCGAATAACACGAGCACTAAGAATTCTTAAAACGTGACAAGTTAATCTTCATTATCAGGAACCTTTGCCAAGAGGAAAGAGGGTGACAGCATGGTGACAGCTTGCCATATATTCAGATCTAGTCATACAGTTGACACGGGTTTTTTTCTAGAAAAATCATGTAGGCAACCACATCTACCACAGCCAGTTGTTCTGTGTGATACAAAAATAACCCAAGGTAAATCCTAAAGGGAATTGCACAACTACTGCAAAACAGAACAAGTGCATGGATCATGGTTCCCAATACATCACAGCTCCTGATACTTTTAACACAATCTATTTCAAGAGTAGCAGCCCCTTTCATTTCCTTTAAAACAAATGTAAATAAGATTATTTCATCTGTGTGAATTCTAGTGACTCATCGAATGTTTTCAGATACTGGAATATTGACATAACACAGGGTGACCAAAAATTTGTGATACCATTACAATGTCTAATAAGTCTTAAAGAAAGGATGATTTGTTTTTATCTAATAGGGTAGATATCACGTCTTTTTGGTCACCCTATATAATACCACATCACAGTGGGTCCAAAATGTAGGTTGGGCTATTAGCCCATGGAATGACCATATTTGAAAGAATATAGATGTTTTAAATTATGTAATTAATAATTTCATTGGTTAATTATATAGGTAAGGCCACCTGCATTTGCTTGAGCATAGTTAGCTCATGGGATTCAAGTCTAATCAATCTTATGGTTTGATCTATTATCTGATACTCATTTCTTAGTTTCAATATTCTTCTTTTGTTCCGAAACATAGTAAAACAGATATGTGTATAAGGAGTACAATTTGTATTTTATCTTAAAATCATTTTTTTCTGGTGTCATTGCGTAACATGGAGTATCCCACGGCTGATTCTGGATGCTTAACATGTTTGTTCAATGTAGGTTTTTTTTAAACAGAGCACTTGCAACACAGTCTTCTACAGTACCAAGCCTTTTTGTGTGCACCAGCTAATGCAAGGCCCTGGAGCCCAAACACTGCAGTACCAGCCTTGGAATGTGGACATCATGCATTGCCAGGCCTTTGCCAAGATTTAGAGTCCACACACTGTGTACGTGTTAATGAAGAAAGGGTTATCATTGCCATAAGGGGATGGTCATGATCATAACATTAAAGGAGAATGATGATCATAACATTAAAGGGAATACTTTAATCAGTGGAACTAAGTTGATAATAAAGGACATTATTAACATTTAACAGCCAACATGAACAGATATAGGCTACCTAGAGATTAGTAAACTAAAGCTTGTCAAATTCATTTGTGTAATTGTGCTTATTTAGAAGTGCAACAAATCATGTTATTTCTCTAAGGCCTGTACTTGCGTGGTTGGTATATGCAATGCAACTTTAAGCAGCAATTGATAAGGTCATACAACAGCCCCAATTCAAATATTTACCATAAGAATACAACTCTAACGGCATTTTTTTAAAAAATCAATTGCAAGTTACAACACTCTGCATGAGGAGACTTGCCTCCAAGTAATGTTGGGGACCAGCCTTTTGACAAAATATCATATTCTTTTGCAAAGACCTAAACAATCTATCGCTATTTTTAGTTATCAGTTTATGTATGTTCAAACCATTGTATATAGAAGCTACTGGAGACAGTATTTCAGGTCCTGCGTTATACTTTTAAAAGTCGCAAGTTAGCTTTTATCCTGCAGGCTTACAGGGCACATTTGCCAGTGAACGCTCTGATTCCGGCAGTGTTTGACTGCGATATTTGCAGTGCTCACGCAGTGCAAATCACACTGCAGTCACGTTCCTGACACCGCCTGGAGGAGGTGATTTCAGGAACAGTGTTTGATTCACACCCACACATTCTAAACGCAGTGAGTGTAAATCATTCCGGACTTGTTCTTCATGCTCCTTTCTGAAACATATGTCTATTCTTTAGAAATGCTTTTATCACAAATCTATTAAAGATCTGGGGATTCACAGCAATGTGGAGCAGCCAGTGTAAATCAAACTATCTCCTGCACAATGTTCCTTGCATCTATGCATAATGAACAACTGTCTGAGGCAAGAGGTGAGATAACAACAATATCCTAATGATGGGCACCCCCGACAGTGTGGCTATATATTCGATTGAATCCCTACACCATTTGTAATTATGTATGTGGGTTGTGGTCCAGCACTTACTGCAACTGGGCTTGTTTGTATCTGGTTCCTTCTGATTGTAGTCAGCCATTGGCAAACAAGCCAGATTCTGACTGAGAGCAGGTGCCAGTAAGCTGTATGAATATTTTTCAGGGCTATTCTGATTGTCAGAACGCATAGATTTCCCTCCCCACCATTGTAATTAGCAGGGATTCTGCATAATCCCTGAATTATTTTACTTTTTGCCCAAAAAATCTACGCAGTCATTACACCTTACAGTTCCTGATACTCCATTGGACCGCTGTATTGCCGGAGGTGTCGTTCTTCACATGAGACATTGCACTGAGACCTCGTCTGCCTGTTCAAGTTGACATTATAGATCCCATAGCACTACTTGAAGAGAGATAATATAATAATAATAATCCTTGCATTTGATATAGCGCTATATCACGTCTTCGAGACTTTTCAATGTGCTTCAAGAATATGCTGTAAAGTAAATTGACTGTAGATTTGTGGCCGAAACATGGCAGCCAATTGCTCACAGCAGTGTCCCACAAACAGTCGTGGATGACACCAAATTATTATTATTTTAAATTTTTTTAAAGGAATTATTACCCCCAGAAAAGCGATATACCAATCAACTAACAACCAGGTTCCTACTTACTGCTAAGTAAACAGAGGCGTTTGGATTAAGGAAACTTGCCCAAAGTTTTATCCTGCCTGGGATTCGAACCCAGGTCCTCACGCTTGCGAGGCGAGTGCTCCAGGAAATGGGAGTTTCTCCCTCTGTCATGGCCAACAATCCCCAAATAAAATTCATAATTCATTGTTTGTGGAACATTGCTGTGACCAAGTTAAGATGTTGGATTCACCCTTAAATACAGTCACTCCACTTCACAGTATATTCTATGAAGAGCTTTGAGGGATACTCCCAAAGTGAAAGCCACAATACTAATTGCAAGGATTGCTAACACTGAATTCTCAGTTGCACAATGTCACGTATTCTCTAGTCAGCTGCTCCTTCCTACCTCTGCAACCTACTAATCTTTACCCACCTATTCAATCCCTACACTCGGAGGGCATTTGCCTCCTCCACATCCCCTGCTCTGCCCGTCCCATCATTGGCAGTTTGGCCTTCAGCCTTTCTACTCCCACCCTCTGGAACTCCATTCTGGTGTCCCTCTGTCTCGCCCCCTCCTTTGCCCAACTCAACACCTTCCTCCTCGACCGTGCCTTTGGTCATCTTCCCACCCTTATCCTCCACCCCTCTTAATTCCAATCCCCAGCTTGTGTGCAAATCCTCACCGTCTAATGTCTTGGGATATTCTCCTGATGTGAAAGGCACTATATAAATGCAGTTTGTTGTTGTTTTTGTTGTAGTCCCACATTGCAATTTATTTTTCACCTGCTGCTCAACTCTTCTGTTGCACTTTAGAACATTGGTGTTTGTGAACTGTTCTTGACTGTTATGCCAGTTCACTTGCTGCCTCATACAGTAATGTAGCCTCATAGTGACACAAAGGCACAGAGTGCACTCAGTGGTACAAAGGCACAGAGCAGGGCGGATCTTGTCTGCAATTTGCCTCACATACTTGAATTGTCAATATTGGCCATTCAGCAAGTCCTAACAGGCAGGTCTGAGGAAATAAAGGACAAGATCTGTGGAAATGTGCTCTGAAGCAGGTGAGCTGTCTGCCTGCTTTCTCGCTTAGGCATTGTGTATGTTACAGGGAAATCCAGGGAAATACATTCAAGGAGAGAGTATACCATTGAGAGGTACAATAGCGTTGTATTAAATGCCAATCATCTATTAGCCCGTATCTAGATTTTTGTAAAACAATGTGGGGATTTAAGGGGAGAATATCTGGGGACAAAAATAATTGGACTTAAGGGCAAACACTTGAATATTAATTGTTCTATCTTGCATGTTAGCTTGAAGATGTAGCAATTAAACATTTACCCAATGACCTTGTTTACAGTTCTTCCAGATGGTTTTAATGTGCAACCACAGATTGTAAGTTTATAAAGTTTGGTCCAGGTTCTGTATTTCCCTTTGTTTTGATTTAATGAAGTTTCCTCCTGTGCATTTGAACTGTGATGTTTTAATAGCTAAGCACTTGTACAGTGCACCAGGGAGCCAGGATAATACAAAGGTAAGTACATCCAACCAACCTATAAGATTCCAATCATTGTACATTATGCTTGATGTTTAAAGCCACCCTTAGGCTGTCATATGATTTAAACATCCAACTATTGCATTTTTAATTAGTTAATGGGGCTTCAGTACGTGAAAATGTTTGCCTTTGGTATTGATCACTGTAAAAGTTCACTTAAGTAAAAGTTACTTCAACTTAGTTGAGTGTGACACAGTTTATAAGCTCATATACAGGCAGAGCCCGGAAAAAATAGCCAAGTTAATCTTTTGATTTTCATCTGTTGTTATCCAGTATTACATAGAATTACATGGACTGTATAGCACTAAACATGCCATTCAACCCAAATAGTCCATGCCAGTGTCTATACTCCACATGAGCCTGCACCCATTCTAATTCCCTCTCCCTATCCAAACCCGTACCTCTCTACTCCCTTCTGTGTGCATTGCCTCCTTCTTTTTGCATTACAATGTTCATTTTGGATGCTTTCCTACAGTGATAAAAATATGCAGCTTGAGGCTTGAAAGCATCATATTATACTGCTGCAGTTTTCAGATGGAAAACAAAGCAAAGTACTTCATATATATAAAAATGAACCAATTCCAGGCATTATATTGAAATAGTATTGGGTACAAACACATTGCTGATTGGGTTCCAGGGAAAACAGGAAAACCAATTTGAGTCAACTCAAGTGGAAAGA